TTATACCCAAAAGGAAGGTGAAGACTTCTTTGATACTTACTCACATGTGGCTCGACTGACCACTATTCGAGTTCTACTTTCACTAGCTGCCTCACATGGTCTTCTCATTCATCAAATGGATGTTAAGACTGCTTTCCTAAATGGAGAGTTGGACGAGAAAATTTATATGGAACAACCAGATGGGTTTGTACTAGATGGTCAGGAAGGAAAAGTGCGCAAGTTGCTGAAGTCTTTTTATGGACTCAAGCAAGCACCCAAACAGTGGCATGAGAAGTTTGAAAGAACTTTAACAGCTGCAGGCTCTGTTGTGAACGAAGCTAACAAATGTGTGTACTATCGCCATGGTGGGGGCGAGGGAGTTATCCTTTGCTTGTATGTTGATGACATACTAATTTTCAGAACAAATCTGAATGTTATCAAGGAGGTCAAGGATTTCCTATCTCGTTGTTTTGAGATGAAGGATTTAGGAGTGGCTGATGTCATTCTAAACATCAAGTTGTTGAGAGACGATCATGGTGAGATTACATTGCTTCAATCCCACTATGTGGAAAAGATCTTGAGTCACTTTGGCTATAGTGACTGCAAGCCCTCTCCAACACCATCAGATGCGAGTGTGTTACTTCGAAAGAATCGAAGAATTGCTAGAGATCAATTGAAATATTCTCAGATTATTGGCTCACTTATGTACTTAGCAAGTGCTACAAGACCTGACATCTCTTTCACTGTTAGCAAACTGAGTCGATTTGTCTCAAAACCAGGAGATGTGCATTGGAAAGCTCTAGAGAGAGTTTTGCATTATTTGAAAGGCACTGCGAATTATGGAATTCACTACACCGGACACCGAAAGGTGCTTGAAGGGTATAGTGACTCAAACTAGATCTCAGATGCTGATGAGATAAAGGCCACGAGCGGTTATGTATTCACTCATCGAGGTGGCGCTGTATCTTGGAAGTCTTGCAAGCAGACCATCTTAACGAGGTCAACAATGGAAGCAGAACTCACAGCACTAGATACAGCTACGGTCGAAGCAGATTGGCTTCGCCGACTCTTGAATGACTTGCCGGTTGTTGAGAAACATGTATCGGGTATCCTTATGAACTGCGACAATCAAACTGTGATCATGAAAGTGAGCAGCTCAAAGGATAACATGAAGTCATCAAGACACGTTCAGAGAAGGTTAAAGTCTGTCAGGAAAATGAGAAACTCCGGAGTTATTGCATTGGATTATATCCAAACGTATAAAAATCTGGCAGATCCTTTTACAAAGGGTCTATCACGTAATGTGATAGATAATGCATCGGGGGAGATGGGTATGAGACCCACAATATGAGTTGTTCACAGTGGTAACCTATTCTTTGTGATCGGAGATCCCGTGAATTAGATGTGGAAGACAAGTTGTTGATCAACTGAGAGGAGAGTATCCTTACTATTAACAATACCACTCCATGAAGATGGAATACTCTCCTAATCTGCATGGCAGGTTGATGTATTTCTTAATGTGTTCTAAGTGGCTCATTGAAGCAGAGATGTCGTCCTGCAGAACATCTTTTGAAGAACGCACCTATATGAGTCTCATTGTTAAACGTCGCAATCTATGAGAGTATGGTTCTCTCTAATAAACTCATGAAAAGTCTCGGAGTATGACGCATAAGCTCCACCCGCGGGGAAGACCCACGGTAGCCACGTATCGGTCAAGGCTTTATGTGAAGCTAGATTCGCAGAAAACTTGCAGTTCAAGGCCCAGTTCACTGTTCAAGTTGCTTACTAGTGTAGCATAGAGTTCTAGGTGGAAGTTCAACTTAACAGTCTCCACTGCAGTACCGGTATATAAAACAGTGTTTTGGAACCAAAGGCAAATTTTGTGTGCCTCTGGGATCTGGCAGGGGATTGCTGGAATTTTATCTATTTTGGGCCTAGCCCAATAAGCAGTTTCAGAAATTTCTAATAAATCCTAGAGGCCCACGCAGCCCATTCGTGCAAGGCAAGAGGTGGAACTAAAGTTTAGTCCCACATTGCTAGTTTAGAGGGAGTTGGACCTCTTTATAAGGGAGGTTCTTTCCCCACTTGTATGAGCATGAGAACAAGAGGGACATCCACGTGCGCTCCTCCTCCGCCGCCCGCCTCGCCACGCCACGCCACGCCGTGCTGCGGGTTGCGGGAATGAGCCGATGTCTAAATTTTTGCCACGCACTACGGGCATACGAAAGGTCACACGGAAGCTGAAAAGATTTTTGCGAAAGTGGAGTTCGAATGCGAACGGTGTAGCCCTTCGGCTGCTGGTTGTTCGCTTCATCTCTGTCTCTTCGTTTCGCCTCCAGTCGCTGCCCTCTCGCCTCCTTCTCTTGCGCCTATAAAAGGGAGGTCGCTCCTCTCAGAGAGGTGCACCAGAACTTCTTCTTCCTCTCGCCACCGGTCCCAATCTCTGAGCTGCTGCTATCTTCCTCATCCCGGCTTGCGGCGTGCACCGCGAGTCGGGACAATAGGCCTCCAAAACCGCACCACTCTGAGTCCTGTACGGGAGAAGGGTGATAAGGTTTTTGGGGAGCGCTCCGCGCGACTACTGACTTTTCCATCATGGACTCCGACAACTACTTCCCCAATGATGACTTCTTCCCCGACGTCGACAATCTCATCGACGACATGGCTGGAGAGGATGTCGACCCCAAGTCCAGTGCCTCTGCTGCTGCTGTCCCGTACGTGTTCTTCCTCTTTCTGTTAGAGACCCTGCTACACTTCCTTGTTCTAGTGTTTGCCCTAGATATGTTAGACTCTGTTTCATATATGCAACTTGCTATACTATCTGCTCTAGATGTGTTTAGTTACACTTCATATATGAAGATGTTGTTTACCTTCTCTTTATCAAATCGCATGACTTGTTTTATCACTACTATACTAGTCGTGCTTTATCTAGTATCTCTGATAATAAAATCATTTGGTAAATTCCTCATATTTCCAACACATTTTACCCTAGTTTTACATCTCTCCCTTGTTTTTTCTCTTCCGTTCTTCGTTCATTCTTCGCGTTGAAGGGCAGCGATTATCGATGCTCTAGGGGCAAGCGAGTCGGCCTAGGGAAGCCCATAGCCGCCGTGCGTCTAGACGGGGTGCCGCCCGGGCGCATGGGGTTTCGGATCTACAAAAGCTCCCGTCGGATTGCTTGTGTGCCGTGCTTCCGTGCGGGTCCCCTTTGACGTGAGCTGTGCGCATCAGCCCTGGCGTCGAGGGTACACGGTGACGTGTTCGTGTGCAAACACACTTTTTGATGACTTCACCGGGGACGAAAGATCGAGAATCATCATCAACCATGTCTAAACTTTCCAAGCCATCAGAATCAAGTTAGGCTAAGACAGAGATCACGAGAGGGACGGTCTGCGCCCCTATCACCGACTTGTATCGAATGATTGGTATATGGGGAGGGAGCCTGTAATCATGCCTCTGGATGTGGTGTAGTCATGTTTGTGAATTTCGTTAATAAATCTCTGTGTGTAGTTTCTTGTGTCCGTGTGATTGCTTGTCTGGATCCACGATGACCTTGAAATTATTCTAACATTGGCGATGGACGATCTCTCCTGATCAGAATAAGGCCAATGCTTGACGCATTGGACTCTTCGCCTGCCCCAACTAGCTCTCGACATGGACTTGTTGTGTCCGTTGTGCACTTTCCAAAGTGATGGCCTCGGTTTCACCGCCTATAATCTGTCCCGTGAACACGAAGTGAACACGAAAACTAACAACTTCCGCTTGGGCAGGAGCAAGGGGTAGGCCTCCCCATCCGAATGGAGTGGAGATACAGAGCATTACTGTACTGTACTGCCATAGACAGCGACGGCGGCGGCTGAACCGAGGTATATATATTGAGTGTCAGTGCAACTGTACGTAATCTCATTTTTTTTTTACAAATGCATGTTGGACAACCTTGCCAAAATTTAGTCGAATTTTTTGAACCCTGCCACGTATCCATGGTTTTGTTTTCGAGTCTCTTGGCACAAAACCATACTACCTAGTTTTTATTTATTCTTTTGAACCCAAAAGTTTTAGTGGTACTGCTACGTCCCAGCAGCACACGTATACTTATATGCCCGATATATAAATGGAGCCCTGCCTCCCACCTCATTTCTATCTTCTTCTTCTTCTTCTTCTTCTTCTTCTTCTTCTTCTTCTTCTTCTTCTTCTTCCTTCTCCTCCTTTCCCCACGCCATCCCTTCTTGCCAACGTACATACCACGACTCCCAGCCATGGTCTTCTTCTCCCCCACCCTAATCCCCTCCCATCCACGCTCTCTTGGCGTTGTGGATCCGGAGGATACCATGGAGGCGTTCGCCGTTGTCGCTGTGGTTGTTGCTCAAGCGAGCTGGGACGGGGACAGTAGGCCGCCGTGGGAGGCAGATGCAGCTGCTGTGCCTGTGTCCGTACCGCACGCCGGAGACGGGTGTGCCGGTACGGGAGATGCGGCTGCGGCTGGTGTGCCGCCGAAGCCATGGTCGGACGGCACCACGACTGGCCGTTCCACGGTACGTGTCCCGTGTCAATTCCCAAACCGAATTCATCACCGTCTTCTCCGGCTCCGACCGCCTCCAAATTCATTTCTTTTTGTGCTGCTCTCCTATCTTCTAGTTACCGGTAAACAGCAACATTAACTGAATTTGAACCCCTCCTATACTACACTACACTACACTACACTACAGCAGCAGGTCAGCCAGATACTACAGCTGGGTTATGAATTTTACCATCTGTTTTTCACTGGTAATTGAATGAATCATCCTGGTAGAAATTTCTTCAGATGATTCACCCATCTTTAATTTCTTGTGCCTGCCAAACTAATCACCGACATGCATCTCTCTCTGCCTCTCATAGCTGCAGGTTGACCCCCCTTGTCGCTGCTGGAAATGCCCGGATCACGGTGGTTCAAGCGCAGCAGCCGTCATGCGGCACCGCCGCCGCCTATCGAGTGCAACGATCAAGGCATAGTCGACAGCCTTACTGAAAATAATCAGAGAAGCATGTGGGCTAGCAGAAGGATTGGGGAGGACGAACAACTGTACATTGTCCACGTGCAGGGAGCCGCTGGCATCGGTCTCCCGACTACGCTGCTGGTCAAGAAGTTCCAGAATGCAAACCCAGCACTCCTAGTGGATGACAATGTCAAGAACCGCTGCAAGTTGGAGATGACTCTGTTAGCCAGCATCTCTCATGACAACATCATCAATGTGCTACACTTCATCCAGAGGGAAGACGCGATCATGCTCGTCTACGAGTACCCGGTGAATGGCAGCCTTGACTACTGGCTCCACCGGCGGGAGGGAGGCGAGCAGCCACTGAGCTGGCCGCAGAGGATTGCTATCGCCATCGGCGTGGCCCAAGGGCTCTGCCACTTGCATCACCGATGCAACAGACCGATTGTCCACCACAACATCAACTCTGAAAACATCTTGCTTGCTCAGAATTTCAAGGCCGTGATAGCCAGCTTTGGCATTGCGCAGATGAACATTGCCGGGCTTAACCAACCATTGCCGATCGGGGACATTCCAGTTGGTAACTTTGGGTATGCAGCTCCAGGTACGCCAGGCCATAGATCCACGCAATGGAATTCTGTCTTAATTAACTAGCTTGGCCTTTTAACTTGTACTGATAGTAGTTAATTACTTGCAGAGTATGGTGTCGCGGCAAGCCAGCTGACGGAGAAGGTAGACATTTACAGCTTCGGCGTGCTGCTGCTGGAGCTAGTCACAGGGAAGTTGGCCAATGGAGCAGATGGTCTATTGGCGATTTGGGCTCAGGACAACTGCAATGAATTGATGGCAAACCATCTGAAAATGTTCAAGATTGTCGTGGACAAGGGCATCCCTGATCAAGCGCGGTACATGGAGGAGATGGCGGCCGTGTTCAGGCTGGGTGTGGATTGTACCGTTGGGGATCTGAAGCAAAGGCCGTCCATGCAGATGGCTCTCAAACAACTCCGCCGCAGCCGTGGGCGTGGCCCATTCCGTGGCCTCCTCATCCTGTAAGGCCACAGGCTAAAACCAAGTGCCTTAGTTACTTTAAGAAAATAAAAGACGCGCCATCTGACTGGCTTAACAGGGTCGAGCACGATCCCACCCCCGCATCGCCCTCCTCTGGCGACACGGGGGGCGACACGTTGAGCATTCCTGAAGGCGCCGCCTTGGAACCCACGGTTCTAAGGGTGGTGTTGCTGCACTCAGCGCCTATGTATCCTGCCTTGGGTGTGTGCGTGTGGTGTGGTGGCGTGCGTTTGTACCGGGTTGTTGATGATCATTGCTTTATATATAAAATGGTGCGAAAGCCTTTTTTAGTAAAATAAAATAAAAATAAGAATAAGCAAGGGCCTTCCCTATTGTTCACATGAAAAAATGAAAGAAAAAGAAACATCCCTGATTGCAGCACCTTTATAACAAAATGTTGCTTCCTCCCATACTAATGTCATTTACTTGCTTTTATCCGTGTACGTTGTTCATAATGCTATGGAAACAGAGTTTGTTGTGTTCCTGTCTGCTACAATGATTTTTAGTCATTCGAGTGCTTGCTCATTTGGAACTTGCGAGATGGACTTTCCTGTAACAGAATACTGAGTTAAGTAGGCAACACAGTATGTTTCTGACAACTTCTCGAATTTAGGAAGTATTCCCACTGTTAACATTTTCAGCAGAGCAAATTTGTGATTTTCTTGGGCACCTCATGTAGAACACAAATGTAGAACACAACTATTTTACTAAATTGGATAATCAGTAACCGGTAGACTGTAGTATTAAATGTAACCTCCCCTTCTGAGTTATTGTAAATTGCAGTGTAGTTTGTATGGTGATTCTGTGAAAGATTTTGTTCTTGTCTGCTTGAATTTAAAGAACTTATATGCTGTGTCAATATCCATTTCTTTTCGTGAATTCTTATTGGGCGCATCCTTTTTGTTTCAGATACATCACCAGTGAGGATGTAGTCCAAGTGAAGGGCGGTATTTTTTTCGCAAAGGGGAGCACCCCGGCCTCTGAAGTGAAGGGCAAAGTGGCATATGAGATCAGCTCAGCGGATGAACTGACATTGACAGAGCTATGTTCAGTGGTACTTTGAAAGATTCTACTGTAGACAAGATGGTGGCTCTGCTTTTGTGTTTTGTTTGACAAGAAAGCTTCAGGATGCCCCAAAACCAAGGGAAGAGTCTACCAGTGGCAAGAGGCACAACAGAGTGTTGCAAACCTCCAGCATGAATGCAAGGCACCTAATATACTACTGTCTGAGTTGTCAATGGTGACAACAGATCCAGATTGTCCGTGGAGTCATTTCCGGCCTGATCTAATGGAAGCTGTCTATTTGTGGGTCAGAGGGCTCAAGTTCCACCAAATCAGTGAGATGTCTCAGGTGATCAGGGTCATTAGGAGGCTCAGGGAGGTCCTGCAGCAGCTGATCTCTGCATCTCAGTCGAGCAGCGAAACCCAACTAGAAGGCAAATTTACCGAAGGCTTCAGTAAGATCAAGAGTTGATTTACAAGCTAGAAATATTCTGTGGCTCAAGGAAGTAAATGTCTTGTTGATTTTGTCCATTTTGCTTGTGTTGTAGATGGTCAAGGTGGACTCGATTGGGGATGATGAGGAAGTGAACATTAAACCAGTTTCTGGAGAGCCATGAACTTCCTTTCAGATTATACCAAAAGGCTTCCCCAGGTCTCAGATATGCTTCCGTTAATTCAAATCTGGCATTGGAATGGATAATTCTGGTATGTTGCCATTCTAAATGAAGTAATTGAGATAATTCGGATAATCTTTGTATTAAACTCAGCTTAAAATGATTAGGAATAGGAAGTTCTCAACATTGTTATATTATACAAGTTGAATGTACATTCTTTTGAAAACAGCGGTAACAGAATAGAAGGACCCTAAATATGGGCGAAATATTGAACTTTAGTCCCATCCTTCCAGCCTTGCTGCTCTGTCCATGTTGCTATTCTTTAGGATCCTAAACAGCGGCACACTTGGCTGTTATTTTGCTATTCTTTTATTTCCATTCTTCTGATTTTGCAAGTCATTAATGTTGCGCATGGACTGAATGTGTGTCTCTGTCCAGTGAAGAGCTAGCGATGAAACAGGATCAGAAGTAGTCAGAAACAGAGCAGCTAAACCCCTTCCATGTAGCTGCCTTCCGGGAGTACTTGTTGCTATCCTGCTTGCTTGCAAGTCAGAGATGTGGACTGAATCCAGGCGTTCAGAAAATAAGAAACTGGTTCAGAAAATAAGAAACAAAATACTAGCGGTGATCCCAGGCGTTCGCCCGTCCGCTTCGACCCAGGCGCTGCACACGAATTATGATCCCAGGCGTTCACATCGTTCTAACAGAGAAGAGACGCTACTGGTTCTGCTGGAGCGCTTCACTTGCTTCTCTCCCTTGTCTGCAGTCTTCCTTTTCGATCGGTAGAACATTGCCTTATTTTTGACGGCAGACACTGGCTCCAGGTGAACACAGTACGCTCTCAAAGCCTCCAACTGCGCGTGACAACGCTGATAAACTGTTAGGACTACTAGTCGTCAACCCGTGTATTCGCAAGGGCTAGCATATTTATTGCCCTAACAAACATGAATTTCCGCAGAAAGCACGACATGGGTATTCATGTAAAGCATGACATGGTTATTCATGGTTTTTCATCTGTTTTCATTTACCACATTTATTCGTGTTAATACATATACTAATGGAGTTAGATCCATTCTAAAAGTTTGATGTCCAGTTAGAAAAATGGATGTCTTTATACTAATATAAAGAATTCACATGTGGTTGAATTCTACTCCATATAAAGAATTTTGTTCGGTTGTAATAATTCTGATTGTTGTATTTAATACTCAAGAGAAGCCATTTTACCTTTTTCCTTATTTAGGTAGTACTATTGCCCTGCTTGATTCAATTAATGTTGTCAGAATCACTTGAGAAGATTGAATACTCAACAATTAGTTTTTGTTATAATGTATAATTCTTCTTGATTAGTTAACATTGCCCCCATAGAATTTCCTGACATATTTCATTATTAGTGGATTTAAATTTAAACTGGTAATAGTTGTATTTTCTGTAGAGAGTCACACATTGGCAACTGAGATGACGTCCTGTCGTGGCTGGGAGAGGAATGACCATGGGCTTATATAGTTGATTTTCTCCAACATGTGGCACTTCCATTTTCGCTCATGAAATTCAAGTATCATCCCCGTCAAGAATATATCTTTTGTCCATCAATAGGTTTCTTCGTACCGCAAGCAACAAAGGTGGCTAAGATTGAATTGTTTTGAACACTTAAGGATACACCAAACATTCACTGTTGATAGAGAATATAATTTTCCTAACAAAGGTATAGGTCAAAAATTATTAGAAACAACCTCTAAAATAACTACAACGTTAAAATGAATTACAAATCTTAAATTTCCGTCTATTGTATTACATCCTAAATGATTAAATATCTAGTGATTTGTACCCCGTCTGTCGAGTTGTTGAAAAACCAGACTTATGGGTGTTTGTTTTTCATGATTTTTTATAAATCTCACTATGACTTGTTCGGGAGCCTAGATTCATTTTGTTCCTGTGTACCCTCTTGTTTGGACTCCCATTCATGTTGATTGTTTATTGGATCAATAGCAATACTTGCGCATTGCGATTTATAGTACACTTCCTCTTGGGCCTTGATGATTCCTTTTTTTTTTTGAAATATTTGTTTCCTGACTACCTTCAGTTCTTGAGTCTTCGTCGATATGTACAACACAAATTGTGCTCCTTCTCCTAGTCCCTATAGTATACACTACAGTGAGTTCGTCATCCTCAACTTTTTCGCTTGCTCCTGCAAAAACATTCATAGCAAGTAGAGAGGTGCACAATTATAAAAGATGAACAAAATACATCAAGAAAGCTTATATGGTTACCGTCAATAGTGTGTTCTTTTATTTTACGAACACCACCCCAACTTGGAGTTATTGTATGCTATCTTAGCTATTAAGTCCTTGAATGTGGATTCATCTCTCTCTAGACTACCCTCATTTTTTGATTCTTTGTCAAAATGTAAAATGCAGTGTCTTTCTAGTCCTAGTTTTTTATTGTTCTTCACAATGGATTTATCATCCTCCGTCTGTCCTTTCAAGTTAATGGCATTTGGTGTTGCTTCTTGGAAAGCATAAAAAAATGTGTTGATTTCCAAAAACATTCACTATAAATATTGCACGCAAATAAAAAACACTACAGAGCATTGCAGCATAGCGGATACCTGATCAAAATTTGAATATGGTACCAATGGGTGTTTTTCCTGAATTTATGAAAAAGTTTGTATACAACAGCGTAATCTTGGTAACCATACTTGATATTATAATTGTTCGATCTGAACTGAAAATACAACCTTGGCATTCTGTATTTGTTTTGTTTTCTCTTGGGTATCACAATCATCTACTGTCTATCAAGAATTTTATAGATTGCCTAATAAGTTCTGTAGCTTCTGTCTCAAACATGCTGCAAGTTTTTTTCACTCAGACCACATGTCTCTAGCTTTAGTTGTACCAAGAAATAATAAAATGGCACACATGGTTAGTGCAGGGAAAAACACCAACTAAATAATGAGATGTTATAAATTTACGTTGGACATGTCTTTTAAGAGTTGGGGCCGTATAAGTGGTTCTCTAGTTTAATACATTTTTGTTGCTTTGTTGTGTCTTATGTAGTACTCATCTGATGTATTGACTGATTTAATTGTTGCTTTTGTTGTATAGAAAATAAGGAATGCAAACAAATTCACCTGTAAAAGAATGCAAAACTTCGAAGATTAGTACCTGTTTAGTCTCTAGAGAAGATGCACCAAATCCAAGCTTTTACTGGCAAAGAGAGTCCAAAACACTTATCAAAACTTGTTTGTCGTGTAGTATGTATTAACATATTGGATCTAACCAATAGAATAAATAATTTCTAGCATCTCCCCATCCAAAAAAATAATGATAGCAATTATTTTTTGACCAATGACAGCTACCGACCTGAGACAAC